CTGTAAATTAACATTCAAGTCTGTTAATTTTTTTGTGATCTTAAAGTTCAATATCAAATCACCATAAACATTTCATTTCAATGGACTTCAGCCTTACTGCTGATTAAAGCGTGTAATTAATAATGAATTTCTGTAAAGAAAATCAGATTTTAATTGCATTTTAGAGCTTCGTTTTGCTTACATGAATTTTGGATATGTTATTTTTATTATGAAGACAAAGAATTAAAACAGAACTTCATGGATAATTTAAGAGACTGTAAATTCACACCAATTAACAACGCAATCATAATTACAGCAAAATTAGATTGACGACATTGCTGTACAATAATTTCATGGAAATAACGTTATTGAAGCGAAAATAGATTCATGATCATCATGAAATTTCGCAGATCTAGCAACAACTATTTTCATTTCATTTTCATCACTTTGTTGTTTTTCAAGATCAAAGCTTATAAACTTATAATGATGCCTCGACATAAGCATAAAATTGTCACTTTCATTTTTATTTGTGAGATGAGAAATTACTTCCTCGTGTCATCGTCGTCATGGCTTTTGACATCGACCTACCACGAGAAATGTATATGGTAATTTGAGCTATAAAGTACGAAGTAATTGTGTTTTGTAATAGTAAAAGTAGAAGGAGCAATTGAGGTTTTAACGTGTTTCATATTTATGCAATAAACAGCCTTATTTGATAAGAGAAATAAAAAGAGCCATAAAGATTTTGTAACTTTCCTCACCTTCGGGCAATTGTAGACCTTAAATGAATGTTTCGTGCTTATCCAATTTTGGAGTACACTGACAAAGCCACAATATTTCCGCAATATGCTAAATAGTAATGCATTCAAGTCTTTCGATTTATCTTCTTCTTATTTTCTTCCTCGTTCTCAATTCTTTTCTTTATTTTACTTTTTCATCTCACTCGCATCCGAATGTACGCGATATGTAGATTATTTCGTGCAATCGTAAAATGCATGCGAAAAAATCAAAAAAACATTGTTGTGTCAGCTAAAATTTTCCAGAAGCATCTTATTTAGTGCAAACAGAGCATATTTCTTTTTATTTTATTATATTTTTCATTTAATAACTTTTTAATGAGAACTTTTTTTCTTATTTTTATTAAATAAGCACACTGAATAAAGTAACTGTAACTACGTGCGGCTTATTTATGTCACTTTACTTTTTTTCACTATAATTTTTCTATTTTTAAACTCCATTTAATGACAACAAAAAAAGAATCTTATATCGCCACCAATCAGCACTAACACACTTTTTTCGATTGAGATACATTCACGTTAACAGCAGCCACTTAGTGGCACATATATAACACATATGACTTTGACTTCTATTATTGATGTCTTACACTTGGGAATTGTTGCTATTTAAAATTGATTACAATCTGTTAAGTCGTTCTTAGATTTGTTCCGTAATTATTGTTATTATTTCATCAACTTCTTCTTTTACATCCATTCAAACAACATACATCTATTCCACTTTTATGAGAGGCACTTGTGGATACATTATTGCCAAAAATAATCAACTGAAATCTAATTTTTTTCACTCATCAGAGCAGAACATAAAAACCAGAATTCCATAAAATTTTCGCGCGAGTCAAAATTTAAGTTTTTTCGATTATTAATTCACAATTATTGCCTACTTTCTAATCGCAACAAGAAGAATTTTTCCTTATTCTTCACCATTTAACTTATAAAAATGAGAAAATTCCACAACATAAAATTTAACCGCAAAACTACAGACTTGAAGTTATCGTCTCAAGCGCTCAACAAAAACTGAGTCTGAAGACATTGTTCAGGCAGAGAAAGAAAAGAGTGATGTGTTGGTTTTCTTTATTTTTCAGTCTACTGCTGCTGCTGTTGCCAATGTTATTATTGCATTTATAGAGAAGAATAGTAAAAGGAAAATGAGATAAAAGAGAAGTTAAAAAAATTGACTACAAAGAAGAAAAAATATTTTTTTTTATTCCCTTTAACAAACTTTAATCATGCAGAATGATGATGGTTTAGAACAGAGGAGAAAAGGCAATAATGTGTGATGAATATAAAAGGTACGAAGAATAAAATTTTAATTGAAATAGAGAATGCATCAGGGATTAGAAATTCTTATTTGACTTTATGTTATTTCCATGAATTGAATTTGATTTATTTGGTCAAAGTTGTTATATAATGCTATTAGCTTAAGAACTGCATTATTGTGTGACTTAATATTTAGAGATTTGTATATGAAATATTAAACCCGAGCGGCACAAGGTGGAGGGTGGTCTCCATATGGAATCCATATGAAAGCCACCTCCACTATGTGGAAAGTAAATGGAGGGTTATTTTTTCATCCTTCATATTGATTCCATTTGGATTCCATATGAACTCCGCTTTTTCTTAAATCAAATACCGAAAAACTCGTGCTTTTGAATTTTTAAAAGACAAAGGTCAGATCTTACTGTAATGGATTGAAATATTGTCGAAAAGCTTTACTGAATCATATTGCTTCATTTCAAGCTTTAAAAAAGCAAAAAAGGATAATTTTTTGTGATTTTGTATGAAATTACATACTTCACAAGCGCATGCAGAAATCACTATTATATGGGGTCGTTTAATTTGTATGAAAACTTTTAATAATTTCTTATGTTTCTCACGCGTGTGATCGAGACTTAGAAATTGCTGTGGTTGCGACTTAATTAAATTAAGTTGTAAATTTTTCAATAGTGTTAGTGTACTTTAATTAAGTCCACTAATACAGCTACAAATCTTGATATAAAAATTGCGAAACATAGAAAAACACGTGGAAAATCGTACCAAAAATCCTTTGAAAAATACTTCCATTAAACCTCCGTTTGACTACCACAAATGGATCCTCCATCCTCCATCAAAACCTCTCAAATGACTTCCATTTGGTGTTAATAAATGCACGTCCCACGGAAGATTTTCGGAGCTTTGGCTCTGTCAAGGTTCCAAGATAGTAAGGTTTTCGGAAGATTTTCAAATGGAGGGTGGAACATGGAGGCTCCGTATAGCTTCCATATGGAAGGCAAATGGAGCCTTTGTGCCGCTCGGGAAACGAGCTTAAATTATTAATTTTAATTCTAGGTATCATGTAGAACGAGTCACATAATTTTAGTTTTACAAAAATTAAACCTCAATCAAGCAGCATAACTTAAGTTCCATTTTGAACCTATCAAAATAATCTGATTCTTTAAAATCTTTTAAAAACTCAAGAGAAATTAAAGCTTGAATTTTTGATTTTAACAGTAAAGTAGTTGGTAGAAACTCTTCAGGTTCCTGTTCGTCAACTAAAGTTTTTTAAAGCACGTCATGAAAATTGAAAGTTGTAATTTTCTTAAAATCTAGTATTGCCAATATCTTTGTAAACCGCAGAATTGAATTTTGCATTTGACTCATACAAAGAGATCATGAAATCATCTTTTCAACTTTTAATCCGCATTAATCCATAAAATCTCAAGATTCATTAGTCATGCTTTTTGATACTACTACTCACTATTCTATTGAAATCTATTTCACATTATTATTCAAAATAGCTTGCAATCTATCATTTAATGAACCACAAAATTAACTTTTTGGTTTGCAATGCGACTCGCTAATTTTCAAAATTATTACCGCAAAATCTAATTCATTGTAAATTCTTCCTTGTTTTAATATGTATCCAATGAGTAGCTTCTGATAGGAAGAATCACGGTGTAGGCAAATCTTTTCATCTGTAATCCCTGAGAGTTATTCACATGAAATTATCGCTTTAATATTATTTTTTCGCAAGATAGTTCTTGAGCGATAAATTAACTCATAAGGTCTAAGAATCAGAATAGGGAAAGGAACAGATAAAATAGAAGAAAATAAGTTGCAGACAGCCGAATGACCATATTCGGCATTAGGTAATCGTACTCTCCTATCCAATTCCATTATAAATTAAAATTAAAGTTTCATATACATAATAATGTACATAAAATAATATTTCTTTTTACTGTTTAATTTTGTTATTATTTTTTTTCGTTTGCAGTCTGAACCATAAAGGCTAGCGTAATATATCTCTGAACTATAAATAACTTTATGTTTCTATACTATTTTTTTTTTTCCTTTTGAAAAGTAAGCCTGATGTGAAAAAACACGTTTATGCAATTGAATATATAAAAACTGATCATATACTCGGTTGTGGCGCGAGAAAGCCATCCGGCATGTGAAAAAATCAAACAGGCAACAACCGAATTAGAGACAGAAGAGAAAAGTTGTTGTTCTAAAATTGTAGAAAATAAAATTGCAATTGCACCATTGAAATACTTTTGAATCCAGTCTCATATCCACATCTATCTATTAATGGCATTGCAAGGCATTTAAATGATCATTTAACGGTTTTGTGGACTATATCTCATTTTATACAATATTATGTGCTTGTGCCTATGTCTGATAATGTTTTTATAAGTGCCTTTCTAATGAACTTTTTAGTTTTACAGCATAATTTTTTCTTTTTCGCAAAATATTAAGCTGCTGAAATATTAAAAATTGCTATTGTGAGATTTATTTATTGACCATTAACTTCCTGTAATTTCCAATTTTCTTAAATTTGCAATTTATTTCCTTTTTTTCTTATTTTAAAAACTTTAATTTGAATTGTTTATGAAAAACACATTTACAAGATGAGAAGTGAAAGTAAGAAACTTTTACTTCTTACTCGTTCTTGCTTGTCCAGGTCAAGAATATTCTCATATTACTTAGTTTCAATTTATTCTCTCATCCTCTCGCATACTTAATATTCGCTCATATTCTTATGTGTTTATTTACAATTTAGTAAAAAAAAACAGAAACTTGCAGTTATCAATAATAAATTAGTGGGATTCCCGAGAATTCTCTCTCGCGATCACAAAAATATTTTAATTTGATTCTGCATTTCAATTTCATTTCTGTTTTTGGTGCTGAATCAGAAGGTGCTTAATTATTTACATTGAAAAGTGCTTATCTAACAACTTTAAATCAAGAGCCGCATACGAGCATCTAAAACAACGTAATTCCTACAAATATCTGCATATATTGAGAAAAATCAATTAGTTAAGTAAACAAAAAAAGTTGAATTTGAATCAAAGATAAACATGAATTACAAAAGGAACAATACTATTACTGGTGTCACATTAAGGTAATGATTAATAGAAAGAATATCAAAAAAATGACCGTTTCCAAGCATTAAACATTTAAATTTTTTTTAATTTCTTTTTAGACTTCCTTTGTTTCTATTACTCATCATCTCATGTGCGATTAAAGGCAATGCATGTGAAAGGATTGAAGTCAGCTTGAATGATTGTCGAAAATTGGAAGTTTACTTTCAATGCAAGGTTAACAACTTAAGTTTAAGTGATAAGCATGTCGATTTAAATTTTATGGCAGTAGAAAAATCACCGAATGATTTACGGATTGAGTCATCAAACATATCGTTTATTCCTCAACAATTTTTTGAAAACTTCAAAGACATTAAGGAATTTGTGGCCATAAACTGCTCCATTAAAAACATCTATTATGACACATTTATGAGAGCATTCAAACTCCATTACCTTGTGCTATCGCACAACAAAATTGGAGTTATTCCAGATTATACCTTTCAAAATAATTCGGATTTACAATCACTGAAACTCGATAACAATGAAATTAGAATTCTCACAGCAAATGTGTTTCGAGGTTTAGATATGCTGAGAACTTTAAAATTGTCTTTTAACAAAATTATGTACCTGCCACTGTACATCTTTAGCGAGTTAGAAAGTTTGGAAATATTGGAACTTGATAATAATCAAATTAGAATTATTTCTCAAGAACAATTTACGACAAATTTAATGTTAACTCAACTTGATCTCCACAATAATGAGATACAAATTATAGACAATGGAACTTTAGATGCACTCACAAACTTACAACAATTAAATCTTGATAATAATTCATGCGTGAGTACATCCATTCATGGCATTAAAAATATTACAAGCATTTTGAAATGTTGTATGACATCTTCAGAGGAAATTAAATCTTGTTTGATATCAAGAAATGAACTCGAAAAGAAAGCAAATGGAAATGATGGATATGTTAGCATTACATTGGTTATCATCCTGGCCATTTCTATATTTGGAAATTTGTTACTATTCTTATATTGCTTTGCTCACCGAAGATTAATGGATAGATTTAGAGGTAGAGAAGATGTTATTGAACTTGTTAACAATATGGCTGACAGTTCTTATCAGGGAATGTAATCTAGTTGAATTGATTTTTATTTAAATTTACATACTTTGCCATAATTACAAAGTTTATACTCAATCATATCAGAAAATTTAAATAAATGAATGATTAATTTAGATGTCATTAAAAAAATGTATTAAATGCATTACCAAAACAAGAACGAATATTGTCAATTGTCCAAAACAAAGAATCACATTTCTAAATCTAACAGCAGTGCAACAAAAAAATTCAACCTTTTGCGTTAATAGGGAGAGGTCGCACACTAGTGAGCCGAGATAAATTTGATTGCTAAAATTGGACCAATATTTTCAAGTTTTATAACTTTAAAAAGGTCAGTTTTTATTTAAAACAATGTGCCATAGACCAAAAAAGTTTGAGAAACACTGGTTTAAACAAAGGTAATTATTTTCATACAAAACAAGCAATTGTAGGTTGGTCAAAGAATTGTTTTTTAATGTAACGTAATAAGTGAACGGCCCAAAAGTGATATTAGCAACAAATTATTAAACATTACAATTTGTTTTAACGGTTTAAAAAAGTTTAAATAAACAATGAGAAGAAACTATGCTGAAAAAAAATTAAAGAAAACAAAACGTGTTTAACGGTCATGATGAATAATGATAAAAAGTTTTACTAAGAATTTTTTTGATCATAAATAAGTTTAATAAATTAAACTTCAAATCTATGATTTTATTAAGAAATTTTATGAAATTTTTAAATCATACAAAATGTTTTTCCAAAAAAATGTTTTTCCAAAAATTAAAATTTAAAAACCATAAACTTAAATATTGTGAAATAAGTTTCTCTTAAATGCATTTAAATTGTAAGTTATTAAAAATATGAAAGAAATAAAATATAATTATTCGACAAAGTAATTTTTTCACTTTCGATTACAGAATGTTTTTGAAAATGATCTGATTTAAAATAATTATTAATATCCACAACAAAATATTCGGTTTTCAGGTGGTTTAGCAAATTATTGGTTTTAAACTAAAACAATTTAACAGAGTCTTTATACATTTCATTTCATCAATGATTCTTTTGGTTTAAATTTTTAAATCTAATCCTAGCATGTTCTCCGAAAAAAGAATAAACATTACGTTGCTTATGGTGAGAGAGCGGCATTTTCATGCACATCATATTGTACAGCACGAATCACATTGAAAATCAAAGAGAGAATTTTTTTTATTATAAAACGCCGGAGAAAGAGAGAAAACGTGGTAGTCGCTTTTGAGATGTTGTGCAGTTTACAACTCGGTATCTAAAAAGATAACAGTGTGATAAATACAGTAAAAAAATCAAATCAAAAAAAGTATACTACTGTCAAAAAATAATTATAATAAAATTCAAGTAAATATCCTTAAGTTGCTTTTTATACATTATCATCATCAGCATTTCTCTTATCGGTAGTAAATGGCTTAAAACTTCAAATAATAAAATGAACATTGCTGCAATCACGAACATAATATTTTTTACGATTTTAAAAAAAATAACAAATAAAAGTGGTAACACGTGAAAATTCATAAAAACTTTAAAGTGTGTTTACAGTCTGAGAATCAAATAAAAGAAATCATAAAGGTTGACAATTAAAGTGAGTCTGTCAAGTGAGCAAGAGGACAATAAAACGAAATTTTGTACAGAGAGAATAAGACAAAAATTCCGACGATTACGTTTAAGCACAAAACATATTAGCATAATAAAACTATTTCCTTTCAATGCAATAAAAATAAAGAAGAAGAACGAGAAGAAGGAAAATTTACATGACAGCGCAGACATAAAGTGTCAAACAAATCTTTCTCAGCATTGCAATAATTTTTTTTATATTTGACAAAAGCATCAGACACAAAAATTCATTCATCTTGATTTTGATCAATTTGCACTCTCTCACATTTGAGTCGATGTGCTGAATGTGTTAAGGGAAAAATACTTAAAAAAGTAAGAAGCACATACAATAAAATAGACAATAACAATAATAATATTTTGAAAGTATAAGAAGAAGCAGAAAAATAAGGAGAATCCTTGATATAAACGACACTAAATATCATACACATCCGTCAAGTGTGTGCGTAAAAATTCCAAAGTTGTATTTTATGTGAAATCATTATTTTTCTGCTGAGCAATTTTTCCTCCAGCTTTTCGTCAAAATAAATTTTTCCTTTCTTTCTCACATCGTCGTCTTTTCTCATCGTTCAGTAGCAGCTACTGCCTTTTTTCTCTTAAATTTTTTTTCCTTTCCCTTTTTCATCAAAAAAACTTTGCTGAGAGTAGAAGAAAAACTATACAAAACAATACGTTGAATGATTCTCCCTTATAAAGAAACAGAGAGAATAAAGTTTTTCCACAAACAATTTTCTCTTCTCAGCACTCGTGTTTGCTGTACTGAGTGTAAGAAAAATTTCTGTGCATTGCATTGATGTTTTTGTAACCAAAAAAAAAGTCCTGCACTATTTTTTTCTTTTTAAAAGTAGTTGACGTTAAATCACTTGACAGTGTGACAGTGCCTCTCAATTTAGTCTCGAGCGCGCGCGGAATTCCACTTAACAATAATAAATAAATAAATGTGTGCATTTAGAAGTTTGTTTGTTGTTGTTGTTGCCATATAGAATACGATAGTGTGTGATTCGCTAATCATAAAAAATTCTCTTTTATTCCTGTACGCTCATCAATCATCATTAACGTATGGTGTGTCAAAAAAAGTGAGTAAAAATAGCATTTTTATTTATCACCTCTTCTCTTTTATTCTTTTTTTTTGGTGTTGTTGTTATCATCGTGTTTATTTGTTTATATTACGTGTTTTTTATGCAGTAGCAATTGAGCAGTAAAAAAGTCATAAAATCAGTCGTTGACTGAATCATTCGAGTAGAGAGATGAGTAAAGCGAAAAATGCTCTTGTAGTGCGTTGCGTTTTATGAATGAAAAAATAAAAATATCAAGAAAGAAAAGAAAAAATAATAAAAATCGTCTGGCATTTTTTTTTTTTCTTTTTCAATGCGAGCGAGAAATTTTCTCTGCTTTTTTATGGCTCCATGACGATTTTTCATTTATTTCCACTAGCGTGCTCTTGAGATTTATGAGATGTTCATTTTCAAATGGATTTTGATGGGGTCAAATATTGAGATTGAACCACTAATTCCATATGTTTATCGCTCCATATTTTTTTTTCGTGATAACAAGTTTTTAAGAATTTTTTACTTTAAAAATCAACTATAGTGCTCAGATTTGAAAAACTTGTTTACGATTGGAAATGAAATTTAATTAAAATGGTTTTCCGAAATGCGCTTTGATAATGAGTTTGAACATTATTTGAAGTTCCTCACATCTTTTTTTAATTGTATGTATATGGCTTTAAAACTCTTCTAAATCTGAGGTTCTGAGAGCTAAATGGAAAAATTATTTCTTAGATTACAATTCGAAAACTGTTTTTATAAATAACGAATAGATTTTTATTAAAGAAAAATAAAGAATTATGAATTATTATATAAACCTATATGTAAACATTTCAATATACTTAGTGGATTAACAGTTTATAAAGTTTCAAATTTATCAGTACTTTTGCAATTCTGCTTTGTATTAATCCAGAGCAGTTAATTCATATATGTACAATTCGTGTATCGTGACTTAAAAGCGTGTTAACCGAAAAAGTTTGAAAGACCTTTGTCTAGAATTTCTATTCTTAAAAACGATTATTAGTGACATTATTATTACGGATTTGAGATTCAATTTCTCAGTTCTTATTGAATCTTCCACACTCATGGTTCACACAAGATCTCCTAATATGGTCCTAGAACCCAAGAACAATTAAAATTATAATTTCGGAAACAACCAGAAGTATTCAATAATATTGGAAAAAATATCTCAAAATTTTCTATTGAATGCGACTTGAAAATGTTTTATCAAAATCCAAAGAATCCAAAGCTTGATTTTTAACCAAAAAATTCGTTAATACATGGATCGTCATTTAGAAGTGTAATGTGATTTTAGGTGTGTATCGTCGTTTAAAATTTGCATAAATTTCAAACATTATTACTAAATCCTGACATAAATGCATCATTTATAAAGATTAAATGTTAAAAGTTATCAAGCTGATGTGAATTTTTTGCAAAATGATTTTGCAACTTTATCAGCAAACTAGTTAACTTTTCAAATGCATCTGCAGGTCTTCGAAAATTAAAGAATATTGTCAATTAAAAGTCAATTTAAAATGCAACATTTTAAAGACTTAAAATTACCCAGGATTTAAATTGCTTCTTAATTTTTATTCATCTTCTTTAACATTCTTATTCACAAATTTTTCTTATTGTAAAAACGCTCATTTAAAAAAGGAATTTGATTTGCCATTTAAAAGTATTAAAAATATTTATACGGCAATTTAAATTGCTCGCATTAATGCACTTCACTGTCGAAAAATTCCAAACATGCAATGAATCACATTTTCCATATAAATTGTATGGATTTTAGAGGACACATTCAAATCATTCCTGGTGCATACAAAAGATAAATTTTGTATTTATAGGCATAAATATGTGACTACTGTCGATATAAACATTATGATGCATTTTGATGATGATGGCAAAAAAACATGGCAATAATTTTAATTAATGCACGTTTTAATACTGTATATGTCTCTTTACTTTTTTTCTCACTACAATTTAATGATGAAATTGTGAAACTCAAATATAATTATCGATTGAAAATTAATTATGTTTATCATGAGGACTTCGTGTACAAAAATTTTCATTTTTTGCGTTGAAAAAAAAAATATAAAAATCAAAATAAAAAAACATGAAAACTGATTCGTTTAAAAAGCATTCGAGTAATACAAAAAAAAAATTAAAATTCAATTTTTCTCGGATGCGCTAAAACACATTAAAAAAAACGTGCGGATTTAAATAATAGCCATGACATAGGTATATTTTTATATAAATATAATATACTCAAAATATTCACTCACATTACATATGCGAATCTCAATTTGCAACAGCACCAAAAAATCACAGTTTCACACGAATGATAACAAAAAAAATCCGTGGTTTTAAAATTCCTCGTCGATTTTTAAATTTTAAATATGAAGTTTATGATGATTTTGCATCGAAATTTTTTGTGTGCGAAAATAAAAAAGATAAGACGGTAACGTAAGCTGAAAAGTATAGGCACATGTACGTTTAGTTTGAATGAGATTTGCGACACAGCATAAGGCAAAAAGTCGATTCGAAATGCATACATAAGAAGTGAGTGAGTGAGAGAGAAAGACAGAATATCAGAGAATAAGGAGCAAGAAATATGGAAAATTAAACAATTTCAATTCAGTGGGAATGCGAGCTGAAAAGCAATTCATTAATATTGCATAAACATTTCGGCACACAGGGGCGATAGTCGCAAAAACCACCGAAAAAAGAATGTAGATATAACTCGACTCTCCGAATGAGAAGAAATGTTCATTCAACAGAGGAGGAAAGAAATGAAAAAAAAAGATTTTGTTTTTTCCAAAAAAAAAAAAAGAGGGGAGGAGAAGGGGTAGAGGATATGAATGTGGGTGTGTAAATATTGCAGGATCTTCGCACTTACTTTTTCATGCCAGTGTTGCCTGTATTTTAATCGAGTTTTAGCTTTCATCCGTTCATTCATTTCTTTTGCCAGTACTTTTTTATATATATTCTTCACTCTTGCCATCAACATCATTGTTGTATTACATCCACTGCTCACTGCTGCCGTTTCTTTTTGGTCAGAAAAATAAAGAATAAAATGAAAAGTTGAAATGTTTCTGAATGTTTTGAACCTGAGCGCATTTTAATTTTTTAACAGATTAGAATCTGCTTTGGGATTCCTAATGTAAAAGATAGAAACGAGAACTTTCTGTAATCTAATCAGAAGCATTCTTCGTATAAAATAAACAGACCAGCAAACGAAATAATACAAGTGAAACTTCTTCTTTAGAAAATAAACTACAAACGAGAAAAAAATGTTTATTTGCAGATATTTCTCACTATACCGTGTATGTATCTATATCTCTGTATATTGCATGAGTGCCCGAAAAAAGCAACACTAAAATGAATTGAAATGAAAATATGAACACCAGTGGAGGAAGAAAAAAATAATAAGAAGAAGACGAGAACTCTGAAATGAAACATTTTAATTTATAATGCACTCACCTCTTATGTGCTGCTTAATAAAAATGCGAATGGTGTTTTAATGTCATTAAAATGAAAATGAATTTGATAAAAATGCTAACATAGAAGGAGAGAATGGAAGAGAAATAAACATACAATAATAAAAATTGGATAAGCGCTAAATTTCGTTTTAACTTCATATCCATCTTCCTCGTCGTTGGTTCGTTGAGATTTAATAATCTTATAATAAAATTGACTTATTAAAATATATGAATATCCGCCTCTGTATTTCATTTTCTCACCTCGTTTCTAAACGAAAAATACGATAGAGAAAGAAGGAGAGAATTTGTTGCCATAGATAATACATTAGGCAAGCAGAAAAGATATTACTTATGTAAACAATTGCTTTTTGATGTAAATTGATGAGTTTAAGTGGCAATTTGGAGGTCCTGCCTGTTTATAATTACTGAATAAACATTAATGTAACGTCAACATATAGAAATGAAAAAAAATTTCCTCAACTTTTTTTCGTTATTTATTCAATTCATGTTTAACAAAATCATCATTTTGTATGCTGTTGCCTGCCTTGCCGCTATTCTATTAATACAATTCTATCCTATTTTTCATACATTAACGTCGTTATATTCTCAAATTATTTTTTTTAGCTGAATGTCAATTGTTTTAATTGTCAGAAGGGCTCACAAAGCAAACACAATAAAAAGTGCCAAGACTTATTTTTAGAATTTGGTAGACAGTAATAATTAATGCGAATGACATAATGTACTCTTATTCTTAAAATGGCACGGGCTTCGATAAAAGGACTGTCCTCAAATCTTGTTGTAGGGCCTACTTATATGGAAGTTCTCATTATGGAACTTTATGAATTTTAAAATATTGTTATTAATTCAGTGAGAATCAATGAATGAATTATGAGTAAAACTTCAATCTTGTAAAAATTTACAAAGCAAGTTTTTATTTTTGGAAGGTTCAATGTCTTTATTATTGAGTTCTATGGGATCAATCATAAATGATGATCATATAAAAAAATCTTTTTTAACCCAAAACTTAAAAACTTGCTGATATATATAGTAAGTGATAAGCAACATAGAATTTTAAAATGAAAAAGTTTTTTAAAAGTAAAGAATAAAAATGCTGATCTAAGTCCATTTACATTTTTATTCTCATCACTGCATGACAAAAATACAACAAATGTCATGAGACAGCATACAAAAAAGTTGTTAAACAAGAGGATTCACAATTGGAATATCCTAGCTTTATTTAACAACATGAAGATTTCATGACCCAAATTAATTATTAATTTTTACATTTGAATCTCTCTCCAAGTTTGCATTGCTCTGTGTTTCTCTTATCTTTTATAAAAATAAAGCTCCATATAGTTATTTGCAGTCTTATTTATTTTTAAAGCTCAAATTATACTAGTAAACTCAATAATCGGGCCTAAAACTCTTAAGCGAATATCATGAAATTAATAATGAATTCTTTGCACAGCTTTATCACCAACAACGCGTCAAAATAAAAGTCAACAAATTAAGCTAAAATGTTTGATCAAGCATTAAATAAATTTTCTT